CGATAGTCTTCAAAAACATTGCAACAATAATTTGAATCATAGACCAACAATTTATTGCACTGTAGGAAAACCTAAAAAAAACTGTTTTCCAACACATAGTTCGGACTCAAATATGGTAAAAGTTACAAAAAAACAGTGTATGGACTTAGTAGGATCAGGATTCAAAGAAATTAATTTGGCTTTAAAAGGTGGTGTAATAATTTTTTTTATGAAAAATAATACAATCGTTGATGACATTGTCGATTTCATGGTTGAAATAAATCATGAAATAATAAATTTATTAAAAATGTTAACTGTAAAGGGTATGGTAAAATAGTATGAGTACGGTGACTCACGTGGTGGCGGTGTCTTCCTCTTCTTCCCTCCACAGGAATGACCCATTTCGTAGGGGCCGGCGAAGTTGTTAGCCTTAACAACCGTTCCTTTCACTGAGCCTTGAGTAAGGCTGGTTCGGATTGTTTAAGGTTTTTTAATTAAACTTAACACTAACTTATAAACTAACTTATTACTAACTTAATCTAGTTGTAAAATAAACTATAAACAAATTAAATTAAATAAATAACTAACCAGGTCAAGCCTGGGTCGTGATTACCTGGTTTCTCCTGCGGGCGAGTGGCAGCGACGAACGGGCGAGCCCGAAAAATGGTGCAGGCGGTTTACTATCACTTGACACTGGCACTTAGGAAAAATTTAGTAAATTTTTATTTGAACTATTAAGCTTAAGATAACTAAACAGTTTTGATACTAGTAACGAANGAATGTTGCATATGTTGAATTAGAACAACGTTTGAATATAGATTTTTTCGGTATTGATTTTCCAACACCAATTGAACAAATTAATCGCCTCGAACGAAAAAATCCTACAATATCGGTAAATGTATATGCGTTGGACAATAAAAACATTGTTTTTCCATTGCGTGTAACTAAATCCAAAACCGCTACAGATCATATTGATTTACTATACTTGAAAAATAATGAAACTAACCACTATTGTTACATCTCAAAATTTTCAAGGCTTGTATCAAAACAACGCTCAAAAAGTAAACGACAAGAATATCATTGTAAACGATGTCTCAGCGTATTTAACGAGCAACCGTTATTAACTCGTCCAAGTGGGAAAGAGGGACTTAAAAAACATGTAAAAATGTGTGGAAAATTCAAGGAGGCTCGCATTGTTCTACCACAGCCTAACTCTGATCTTTCAATATTACGTTTTAAAAACACAAGACGAGAAGAAGCAATACCGTTAGTTATCTACGCTGATATGGAAAGTTTACTTGTTCGAACGATGGAACAAATATCGGACAAGTCTATGATTGTACAAAAACATAAACCAATGAGTTATTGTTTTTACTTAGTACGCAACTCCAAAATATTACCGCAAAACATGTGTCAGGGATTACCGGAGGAACCAGTAATGTATCGAGGACCTGATGCTGCTAAACATTTTGTATCAGCGTTGGTGGATATTGGAAAACAAGTATCAGATATCATGAAAATTAACATCGAGATGAATCCTCTAACTTCTGAGGAACAACATCGTTTCAATACCACAAAACATTGCGACTCGTGTTTAATAGAGTTTACCGATAAGTTAGTAAAAGTCAAGGATCATAATCATTGGACGGCAAAATTTCGAGCTGTTTTATGCCACAAATGTAATTTACAACGACGATATTCCGCATTCATACCAGTTATCATGCATGGTCTTTCAAACTATGACTCGCACATGATAATACCAGAAATGGCTTACGACAATAAAGACATTACTGTTATAGCACAATCTGAAGAAAAATATATTTCATTCAGTAAAACAATAAGCGATTATTTTCAACTTCGATTTATAGATTCATATCGATTTTTGTAAGCGAGTTTGTATCAACTTACAACCACCTTGACTTTACCTGATTTTGCACATACATTAAATGTCTTTAAATCGTTGGAGTTGGTCACACGGAAATCGGTTTTCCCATACGAATACGTAGACAGTTGGGAAAAACTCGACGAAAATCAGTTGCCAACCCGCGAAAATTTTTACAGTTCCATTACGAAAAATACAGTATCCGAAGAGGACTATGAACATGCAAAAAAAATGTGGCAACACTTTGAATGCAAAACTATTGGTGATTATAGTGACAAGTATTTACTTGTCGACGTTATGGTATGTTGTTAATTTTTTTAGTAATTAACAATTATAAATACATTTATTTTTTAGGTACTTGCTGACATATTTGAAAAGTTTCGCGCGGAGAGTTTAAAAAATTATTCTCTGGATCCCACTCATTATTACTCATGTCCAGCCCTATCATTTGATGCTATGTTAAAATATACTGATGTCAACATTGAATTGATAACAGACCCAGATATGTTATTAATGTTTGAATTGGGTATACGTGGAGGTTTGACACAAGTATGTGTGATTATTAAAAATATAAAAATATGTTTAATAATATTTATAAATATATACATATTTATATATTAATATATTTAATATAGGTCAATCAGCGGTATGCTCGAGCAAATCATCCAGGTATCTCTGACTACAATCCCAATATTCCACATAAATATCTTCAATACCTAGATGCTACAAATTTATATGGAACAGGTAGTTTTTTTTTTAAAATAAAAAAAATTAATATTTGTGTAAAAAAACATTTGTTTTTTTAAGCAATGATGGAACCGATGCCACTTGGTAATTTTGAATGGTCAACTGTTACATTGGAGGAAATACTTGACACAGCTGAGGATGCTGATCATGGATATCTTGTGCAAGTCGATGTAGATTATCCACAACATTTACATGATTTACACAACGATTTACCATTTTTTCGGGTAAACGAGCATCCACCTCTACCGTCTGCCAAATACAACAAACTGATGACCACGTTGTTTCCAAAACGTAATTACGTTGTACACTATCGAACATTAAAACAAGCGGTAAAACACGGTGTGGTTATCACAAAACTGCATAAAGTCATAAAGTTTAAACAATCTCGATGGTTGGCACCGTACATCCAAATGAATACAGAATTACGTAAAAAAGCCTCCAACAAGTTTGAACAAGATCTACCAAAATATATGATCAACTCCAACTATGGTATTACTAATATTTTTATACGTTTAATTTTTNTAATACTAATATTTTTTTACGTTCAATTTTTTTAATAATAAAAATTTTTAATTTTACTAGATAAAACATTGGAGAACGTGAGAAAACATCAAAATATTTAACTCGTTTGTAACGAAGATAAATGATCAAAACTGGTAGCGAAACCGTCGTTTGGTCACACCACAATATTTAATGAAAATCTTGTAGCTGTACACATGTATAAAGAAAAAATTAATTTTTTTAAACCCATTTTTATTGGACAGGCCGTGTTGGATATTAGTAAATGTATCATGTACAAGTTTCATTATGATATAATGCAACCATTTTATGGTCCTGAAAGACTTAGACTCGTGTATATGGATACAGACAGTTTTATTTATTTAATATTAACGCATAGTTTTCAGGATGATTTGAAAAAATATCTGTTTGAATACTTCGACACTTCCAACTATCCCACTGATCATCCATGTTACAGTGATAAACGTAAAAAAACACCGGGTACATTTACCGACGAATGTAAAGGTATGCATATGGAGGAAATTGTTGCACTCTTGCCCAAAGTCTATGCGTACCTGATTGCCTACAAAAATTATAAAAACGTTTTGCGGCAAGAAGAAGTGAAGCGATTGAAGGGTATTAGTATGGGTGTAGTGAAACATGAAATAAATATGGTTGACTATTTAAATTGTTTGCGAAATAAACTAAAACAAATCCACAAGGAAATTTCAATCATATGTTCAAAACATCACAATGTTTTGACGGTAGAAACGAGGAAACTCGCATTGTCCAACATTTATGACAAGCGTGCAATAGTCGGTGACGAGTTTGGGTTGGGTTTTTTTTTTTTTTTTTTTTTTTTTTTTTT